TTTAACACCCTAACATTCGATCTGATAGCCCAGATGGCTACTGACTGAGCAGGGGCAGGGCATGTATAGCTTGGAGACAGTGGTCAAGAGATAATTCACATCCTGGGACAGAGGGATTGACAGGGCATGAGATTGCATCTTGCAATACTCAGAATGGCAAACAATTTAAAACTTATGTTTATTTCTGGAATTTTCCATTTAATATTTTGGGATCATGGTTGACCCCGAATAATTGAAGCCAGGGAAAGTGAAACTGCTGCTAAGGGGATTACTGTACTTCTCTCTCCTTTGTCACTGCCCACTCCCAGCACGCAGTCTCTGTTCTTGGTTAAGAAACCATCTAAAGCAGAAACCTGGGAGCTTCTCTCCTGCCCCGGTTCAAACCAGGCATTGAGCTCCTTCACTTGCTGCTGCCTGGGCCCTTCCTCAGCCTCCTTAGGTCTGGAAGACAGCTGTCCTTCCAGCCCCTCCCCCTGAGGCAGCCACCCTCCCACACACCCGCTGCTCATCACTTCTGAAAGATCACTCTAAAATGTAAATCTGAAGAGATCAACCAGAGGACTTGTATGCATGCATACAAGCGTAACCAATGGATGCAAGACACTGGGGGGTGAGGACATGTATGGGAGTGGGATGGGGTGGCGGCAATGGGAAGATATGTACACATGTAATCAATAAAAAATAAAAAAAGGAAAAAAACGTAAATCTGAGTGAGTCCCTCTACCTCTGCACCTACCATCACCACTCAGGATAAAGACCAAAGATCCTACCAAGCTTTTGCTGAATTGATGAACTTGACTCCTTTGTGCCAAGAGTAGTGTGGGTCACTACTCAGGGGGGGGGGGGGGATTTCAAACTGGGTCTGGCTGAAGGGGCTGCAGTGGAAGGAGTGGACAGGAGAGAAAAGCAGGAATTTTAGTAAAAAGCTTCAGGGAGCCCTCTGTTTATTCGGAGACATAAAGCATATCAAATATGTTTTCCCTTTAATTAACAAGCCAGAATTTTAAAAGGAATATTTTCCAGTTCCAGTGAAGGTGATAAAAAAAAAAGACTCTGAAACTACAAATTAAAAAATGCTTATTTTTTAAACATGTATTTTTATTGACTTCAGAGAGGAAAGGTGAAGGAGAGAGATAGAGATAGAGACATCAATGCTGAGAGAAAATTATCCATTGGCTGCCTCCTGCACGCCCCTCACGGGGGATGGAGCCCACAACCCAGCCATGTGCCCTGACCAGAATCTAACCCTGACCTGAGGTTCATAGATGGACGCTCAAGCACTGAGGCACATGGTAGGTCTAACCACAATTTGTGTTGGAATCCACAGCCTCTGTGTAAGACAAAACATCAAAGCTCACACTCTTCCAACACCAGGCTGTTTAGATTCACATGCTGCAAGGTAAGACATAATGACCAACTCTCTAGGGCTCATGAACGAGGACTGAACTGGCAACTCTGCCTATTTTTACAAACGCCAATCTATTCCTGTGCAGACTGCCCTCACGAGGCATCATGCTACCACTTCTCCCCAAGTTGGACTGACTACTTCACTTAGCAAGGTTAATAAATCAGCTTTATATGATCATAAGGCTGCTCTTGTGGTCTGCTTTGTATGTGGGGAGACTTCCCCAGCTGGAAAATAGGAAATGGGCTAAGGAAAACAGTCAACGAAAGAAATGCATTTCAACTGCAGTTAAGGAAAACTTCTATGACAAGACCAGTAAACGGAGGATGTTCATGTTAGGCAGGGTGTTCCAAAATAAAGGATATTTTTACGTTCCTTTATGTGCGGGGGAAATGTAGAGGTTGGAATGTGTGGGACAACGTTTCACAAAAGATCAGCTTAAAATTGAGGGTAAAGAGAATATACTGAAGATAAGGTCTCAGATAAAAGACATCTCATCTCTTTCCTGACTTGACCTGGACACCAGGGGCGGCGCTGAGAGCGCGGAATGCCGACCTCTCCAGCACCTGGCACCTCTCAGGACTAAGGTTTGGACTGAGGAACGTCCAGGGCGAGTTCATCTGGGGTCCCACTGCGGCTTCGGAAAGCTACTCGCCCTTCCTTGGTCTTCCAGTAACAGAGGCACCGGTCCGTGTTGAAGGTAGGCAGACGGGTTTCAGCCAGTGGGATGGTGCCCTGAAGGCCCTCACAGTCTGCAAAAAAGACGCCCAATGTGGGACTCGGACCCACAACACGGACATTAAGAGCCTCATACGCTACTGGGTGAACTAGCTGGGCAACAGCTAATACTCTTCGTTCTGTCTCCAGAGACCAAGCTCAGACGCAGGGATGGGGATACACTTTAAGAACCAACTGTACAAGCACTATGGAGCGCCCGCCTGCGCCCGGATCCATCCCTCGACGTGGGAGAGATGGCCCAGCCGGCTTCTGAGGGCAAGATCAAAAGAGCGGCTGAGATTCGAGACCTGAATTTACACTGCGAGCACCATGGCGGGGCCGCTGTGCTTCCGCTTCAGCCCCCACTACCTGCAACAGAGACCCACATACACACATACGGCGCTTCCCCGGGTGAGGGCCACGCCACCGGTCCTCGGTATGAAGGGGCGGGGAAGGGCCTGCGGAGGTAGAAACGAGACCAAAAGGAGTCCTTGTTTCCGCCCGGTTTCGAACCGGGGACCTTTCGCGTGTGAGGCGAACGTGATAACCACTACACTACGGAAACCGCTGCTCTGTGGGCTGGGCTGACACCACCCTGAACCTACCCGTGGCGGGGACGGCGGGGAAAAGAAAGCCAAGCTCCAGCGGACACCGAGCTCCCCGCCCGCCGCCCAGCTACGCTCAGTTTTTGCCACAGCAGCTCCCGCGGCTCCCGGATCGCCTCGGGGAGCCCGCCCGCCAGGGCTCTCGGGCTGGGCCACCCTCTCAGGAAGCACAAGTCCACCTGGGGTTCCCCCACCCGCACCCCGGAGCGCCGGCACTCGCTGGGGATTCTGTACTCCACGCAGTCTTTTTTTATTTTTATTTATTTATTTTTTAAATTAAACGACACATTTTAAAAAAGCTTCAAGTATCACAGTATTTTCCCCGCACAGATAATCTATTTGACAGAGATGCTAACAGCGACAACTAGTAGAGTGTAACAACAACCTGGACACGATTTTCTCAAGTAAAACCAAAACCACAAACGCATTCTGAGCCCCTGCTCTGAGACTGGGACCCCAGGAAAACAGATCTCGAGGCATTTTGGATCTCGCGGAGCAAGATGGTGCACAGCTGACTGAATCGATGACACTTGGAAAGTTTTTTTCTTTAAGGTAAATACATTTATTTGGTTCGAAATTCAAAAGACACAGAACGACACACATGAAAAAAGTACCCTTCTCATCCCGGACCCTTGGCATTCTCTGCTACGGTATTCATCCAGAGGGTAGACGAGGGGAATAGCCTGTAGCTAAATCTTATTCTCTCTATGTGCTAAGCAGCATTCTGTCACTGGGCATGACATTGACTCTGGTTGTACAAACAAAATCCTCTAAAATAGGAACATTATCTTTATTTCATGAGTAAACACAGGACTATAAAATATCAAATACATTTAACATTTCACCCTTCTCCCTTTTTTAGATGGCAGTACCCTCTACCCAGTGGGTGCCTTGCTTTTTTTTCACTTTATACGTATTGAGCTCGTCCGCGCCTTTTCCTTCTCCTCTTCTCCCCAGCCTGCACCTCGTCAACTCCATGGGTCCTTACCAGACCATTTCAAGTCAGGAGAGAAATGGGCGCCGAGCTAACCGCCTTGAACCTGCCCCAAGGTCTCCTTTCCTTTGACTCTGCGGGGAGCTGACAGCATCCCCGCCTTGGCTCACTTATTTCCCATAGCATTTCTGGAAAGCCAAAGCAGAGCACTTGTTGCTTCTAACCTTAGCCCTTCCTTGTTTCACCGTCCCCAGCTTTAATAAACGTATTCTTTCTCTCTCTCTCTCTCAAAAACAAACAAACAAACAAACAAACAAACAAAAAATTGGCTTGACGACCACGCCTTTTTACACTACAGTCAAGTGCTCCATCATGTGAATGTGCACGCAATGACTTGCCACTCACTATCCTTTTACTGGGGTGCAGTTAGGAAAGCTCCTCTAATAATGCGAAGCGACCAGACCGCAGTTTCTAAATGGGTGTGGAAATGCCACTGGAGTGCAGAGGTGGGGAAGTCTCTGGTGCCACCCACCACACTGCCTCAGACCCCGCCCCGTGATGGTCTCCGAGGGACTCCAAAGTCCTCTGCCCAGAAGGGCCGGAAATACTTTAGGACGCTCCCCAGGGCCCGCCCCTCTGCTTCCGGCATCAGCTGTGAGCAGCGCTTGTTGCAGTCTTTGGTGCCCGGCCGGTAGGATGGCGCGGCTGACGCGACCGTAGCACAGACAGCGGACGGCCACAGAGGGTTCCGTCTTCTCCCGAAATTTATCCCCAGTGGCGGGGGCTGGGAGTGGCCGGTCTTTCTGTTTCTCCGTGTTGCTCACGCCCCCGCACCATAGAGATGTGGACCTCCATCGTCCTAGCCCTCCCGCTCTCTTCCCGAGTGCATGCTAGAGCGTCTCGTCGTTTCCTGTCGTCCGCCTCGGGGCGGGAAGGGAGCATTGCGCGATCGCGGAAGGAACTCGCTAGTTAGAGTGGCTGGGCAGCACCGGAAGTGTTGGGAGGGAGAACGGAAGTGAGGGGGCGGAGCCAGGAAGTGAGGAGGGGCGGGGGTTTATGAGGAGGTCCGGAGAGCGTTGGGGGCAGATTTGCACTCAGGGCTGCCTGAGGGGCTTGGCGGTGGCGCTCAGCTGCGTGCTCTCCCGTGGCAGCAGCACGCTTGTAGCCTGGGAGAAGGGTACTGTGTGGAGGGTGAGTTGTCGGGAGGACATTTCTCTACTTGCGCTTGAGGCAAGGTGTGGAGAGACAGGGCTGGGGGTGGGGCCGGGTCGTCAGGGTGTCTGAGAGGCTAGACCCCTCTCAGCTCCCTACCTTTTACGCTGGCTGAGTGGACACTAAGATGGCTGCCGTTGCCATGGCACCCAATCCTGTGCAGACCCTGCAGGAGGAGGCGGTGTGCGCCATCTGCCTCGATTACTTCACGGACCCCGTGTCCATCGGCTGCGGGCACAACTTCTGCCGCGTGTGTGTGACCCAGCTGTGGGGAGGGGAGGATGAGGAGGACAGGGACGAGTTAGACCGGGAGGAGGTGGAGGAGACTGGAGGAGGGGAGGAGGAAGTGGAGGCTGTGGGGGCCGGTGGGGGCTGGGACACCCCCATGAGGGATGAAGACTATGAGGGCGACTTGGAGGAGGAGGTTGAGGAGGAAGAGGAAGGTGTGTTCTGGACCGGTGGCATGGGCGGGTCCAACAGGGATAACATGGACAACGTGTGGGAGGAGGAGGAGGAGGAGGAGGACCCGGACTACTACTTGGACATGGAGGAGGAGGACGACCAGGACTACTACTTTGACATGGAGGAGGAAGACCCGGACTACTACTTGGAGATGGAGGAGGACGAAGAAGAAGTGCTGGAGGAGGAGGAGGATGAGGAGCTAGACCCTGTCACATCACTCCCCCCGCCGCCAGCCCCTCGGAGGTGCTTCACCTGCCCCCAATGCCGAAAGAGCTTTCCCAGGAGAAGCTTCCGCCCCAACCTGCAGCTGGCCAACATGGTCCAGGTGATCCGGCAGATGCACCCAGCACCTGGTCGGGGGAGCCGTGGGAATGAGCAGGGCATTTGTCCCAAACACCAAGAGGCCCTGAAGCTCTTCTGTGAAGTGGACGAAGAGGCCATCTGTGTGGTGTGCCGAGAATCCAGGAGCCACAAGCAGCACAGCGTGGTGCCATTGGAGGAGGTGGTGCAGGAGTACAAGGTGAGAGAAGTAGAAGATGGGAGTTTAGTGGGGGAGGAGAGGAAGTAAGGAGCTGGGAAAAGGAAATGTTCCCCCTCTCCCCCCTCTCGCCAAGAATCTCCTGTAATGGCGAGGTGATTCTCCTTGTCACCAGGGTTAGAGGGAGAAGGTTCCAGTGCACAGACAAAGTAGACATAGTGAAGACCAGGTGGATTGGCTTTCTCAAAGGAAATTGGGCAAAGCTGGTGTTGCCATATCATTGGGCTGTGTCTCCCGGGGAAGGGGTGGGGGGGAACCACCGCTCTTTCTCACTTTCACAGTCCCTAAGTATAGAAGTGCAGGTGACAGGCCCCTAGGGCTTTACCAATCTCATTTTCCTTTGGGGGACCTTAAGTCTCTCCTTGATTGAGACCCCTGGAGATGGGGCCTCAAGGAACAAGAAGGGCTCTGAGGAGTAGGCACATAACGCCTAGCATCAGACTCAGAGGCTCTGAATTTGCCTTCTGATAGGTTCTCCACCCATCAGGACTGATATGGCTTGGTTCTTCCCCTGAGGACTTTTGCTTCAACTGCAGCATTGTGACGTACTGGCCAGAACTTATTACCTTTCCTGGGAATTCAGAAAAAAGGGAGACACATAAGTTTCTGAATGTCTTTGAACTTTATTTTCTTCAGGATTAAAAGTTAATATTTATTGAACATATACTGTGTACTCCAGTATATTTATACTAAGCATTTTTCATGGACTGTCTCGTTTAAAACTCAAAACAACCCTGTGAGTTTGATATGGTTTCTATTCCCATTTTACAGATCGGGAAACAGAGTCAGAGAGATTTAAGTAATATACACAGGGCCACACAGCTGCTAGTAAGTGATGGACTTAGTTATGACCTACTCCCCTATCCTTACCCCATCCCCCCACCCTGGTCTATACTGTTAACAAGGTCACTACTATTTGGATGTCTTGTTTGTTTGACTTTTCTGACATACAACTTCATCTTGGGTTTTGAGTCTATTTTGCTTAATATCTTGCCCCCTACTTTTGATCCTCTTTTTGGACATTGGTAAAGAGAGTTGGCTGTGAGACAGCCAGCACAAATATCACTACTTAGAGAAGGCCTGGATGTGTTTGAAGCAGTGGGACGGGGAAGAGGAGAAGGTAGCTTCTATGTGATTGGCCCAGAACTTTTTTGTTTTATGACTTGTGTTTTCATATCTCCTGATTCCTATGGTAACCTCATTTAAGTATTATCATTGCCCTGATTTTAGAATAGTGAGTTTAGAACTTCTCAGCTATAAGTCGTATAGTTAAGACAAACCACCATCCCTTCACGACAGGTTAACTTATTCCTTCCACACAGTGATTGTCAAACCTGGCTGATTGGCTAAATTACTACCGTGTTTCCCCGAAAATAAGACAACCTCTGAAAATAAGACCTACCGCATGGAAAGATAAGACATCCCCTGAAAATAAGACCTAGCACAACTTTGGGAGAAAATATTAATATAAGACACTGTCTTATTTTCGGGGAAACAGGGTAGTGAGTATTTTCAATAGGGTGAACTTTACCACTAGAGATTCTGAATCAGTGATGGGAGACTATCTTTAGGAAGCCCAGCCTGTGATGGAACTCATTGCATTAGTAGTATCACCTGCTTTTTTTTTTTTTTTTTTTTTTTTTAAATATATTTTAATTGTTTTTTTACAGAGAGGAAAGGAGAGGGATAGAGAGTTCCAAAAGAAACATTGATGAGAGAGAAACATCCATCAGCTGCCTCTTGCACACCTCCTTCTGGGGAAGTGCCTGAAAACCAAGGTACATGCCCTTGACTGGAATCGAACCTGGGACCTTTCAGTCCTGACGTTCTATCCACTGAGGGCTCACCTGCCTTTTAGGCCATGCAATATTAGGGAAAGTTGCTAGCTCTTTTTGTTGTTCTTTTTTATATCCCCTCAGTTCCTAGTTAATTCTAACCATCAAACAATGTGTAGCCAACTTTGTTAACTGGATTCCAGGGTGGAATATCCATGAGCATTCCACCCTTTTTTCACGCTCCCCTGACAGGACTTCTGAAGAGTTTCTGAAGCTGGATTTTAATTTGTGTTAACCACATCTATTGAATTCCATTCCAGTAGGCTCTGCAATTTGGGGTGGTCACATAGACACAAATAATTGGACAGTAACTGATCAGCAAATGTCAATACATAAGTTTTATTATATTGAACTAATTTGAGTGATTCCCTTTCTAAGTTATAGGCTATTTTACAGACAAGTAGTTTCTTTTGTTTAGATACATACACTGACTAGCACTGACTTGGCATTGTGTTGTAGAAATATTTCTTTACTGAATAGGTAGTAACATACAAATGCTGTATAAATAACGCTCCAGAAAAGTTAAAGGTCCTTGAGAATTTTTCTTACATAGTATTCTGGATTTCTGCTTATGAATTTTTAGTCAACAATTTAGGAAAAATACTAAGTGGAAAATTTAAGCATCGTAAATTCTGTATTAATAGAATTTAAATTATTGACACTACTGGACATAAGTGGAAAGTGATATCAAAAGGCAAAATTTTGTGTAGTTTATGCTGTTTTCATGTTATGGATCGATTGTAATCTTATTATTACTATGATTTTTGTCTGCAACCACTTATCTGCAACTATGGCCTTTTGGCCTCGCTGGCATGGCTCAGTGGTTGAGTGTTGACCTGTGAACTAGGAGGTCACAATTCGATTCCTGGTCAGGGCACATGCCTAGGTTGCAGGCTCCTATCCCCAGTGGGGTGTGCAGGAGGCAGCCGAGCCCATCAGTGATTCCATCATTGATGTTTCTGTCTGTCTCCCTCTCCCTTCCTCTCTGAAATCAATAAAAATATATTAAAATAGACAACAAGAACAATGACTTTTTGTACCCTGAGTCAGTAATGTCTATAATTCAAAGGTCATTGTCATGTTTCATTGGCAGCTTAAGGCCTAGGTAGGGAACACTAGGTGACATTTACTGATCTGTTGCTATATACCAGACACTGTACTAAGCATACTACCCAAGGGGTAGGTTCTAGTATTCCCAATTCCCATTTTAAGATGAGGAAACTGGAATCATGGCTTGCTTCAGGACACTTGGCTGCATTTAGGATCAGATTGGAGTCTAGGCTTGAGCTTTTCTGCCCTGTGTTACCCCTAAAGGAAAAGGAGGGATAAATGAAGAAGACATAAAAAGGGAAATAAATAGTTTGGGTTAATCTCACCCATTTTGGTATCTATCAGTCCTTTAAAGAAAAAGACTGGTACAGATGATTGGAACACAGAGCTTAAGTGCATAGTTGTTGTGAAGGCTAAGTATTTAGGAGGAGAGGGTTTTGGTTTTCATTCAGCAACTGATTGAGTGGAAGAGAAAGTAGGAGGACAGGGAGAAACACAGAAATTAAAGTGGCCACCCTGTCCCCAAGAGCCCCTGTCCTGGGAAGTATTATAAAGCCAGAAAAAGACAAAATATGGCTCAAACTAAGACTGTAGAAGGAGTAGGCTAGAAATGTAGAGGCAGTTAGAGTCTCATACTTCGCAAGTGGTGGTGAACGACTGATTTTTTTTTTTAATCACATTAAAATAATCAGAAAAGTACTTAGAGATGAAAGTAATGAGGAAGATTGCTATGAGGGGCCGGGACCACAGACAGGAACATTCAGATGGGAGAACTTTGTGTGATGAGGTGCTCAACCAGGCACACTCCACCGGAGTGTGGGGCTCTCTAGTCAAGATCCCACCTTTAGAAAACCCATCCAGGGCTGTGGACATGAGTGCAGGTGGGGGGTTGGAGCCTTTGCCGTTATCAGAAGAGAAGGAAGAGGATGGGAGGATGATGCTCATTTGATAACTGTGATGGGGATCAGGCTCTGAGACCAAACCCACTGCAGGGAGGCTGGGGGAAGAGCAGGTGCTTCTCCAGCCCAGGCCATTAGCCTTCCTCTTACTATTCCTTCAGGCCAAACTGCAGGGGCATGTGGAACCTCTAAGGAAGCACCTGGAGGCTGTGCAGAAGATGAAAGCCAAGGAGGAGAGGCGGGTGACAGAGCTGAAGGTGGGTGATGTCCTTGACAGGCTGACTGGCTCTGTGGTCAGGGCAGGGAGGATGGGCTGCCCACTCGCACAGTGGTGACTAGATCCCTGAAGAGGGGCAGCCACAGCCTGAGGGAGAGGTAGACACCCTCCCAGGTCCTGAGGAGAGAGGGCCTTACAGGGTGATGAGATATATACATTCCCAGATTCCAAAATGGCAAGAGGCCTGGCTTGGGGAGATTGGGTGTCTGGCTCAAGGCCACAGAGCAGGCTTACCACTCAGGACATTTAACTCCAGAGCCATTGTCCCACCATGCTGTGCCCATCACACTGGATAGCAGAGGGCAGAAGGAGGCAAGCCAAAATCCATAAAGCAGCCATCAGAAGCCCAGATCCCAGGATAGGGGCAGGGGTAGGCAGAGCAGCCCTGAGCATGTGAGGGGGCCAGTGGAGGGGATGAATTAGTGAATGTTAGGATTGCAGAGACCCAATATCCTCTAGTCCAGTTTCTCAGCCTTTTTTCATCAGTTCTCACCTATCCCCAATGAGTATTTTAGTTATTTCCCCCCAATTACCACCCCTTATCCCGTCTGTTTTTATAAGGCCACTAGGCACTGGAATGGCCTGATGCTGAGCTTCAGATACCTGGTCTGAGACATCCCTCCTGTCGGACCTCTTCTCCCATCTCTTCTGTGCCTGCCACCCTGGCCGGTGGCAGGACCTTGCCACTTCCCAGGGCCTGTCTGTGCTTGTTGCCACCTACACTTTACATACATTCCCAGATTTAGGGACTCTGCTGCTAGTGGCTGCCTTGCACCAAGTGGTGGAATTTAGGTCTGGGAGTTGGTCTTGCCTCCAGCTTGTTGTTCAAATTGAGTCTCTTGTGCTCCTGGTGTGCAGAGGTGTAAGAATGAGTCATTGGACACAGAAACTAACTGTTCACTTCACCCACTTGGCCATTCAGGACTTTCTTCCCCCCCTCTGGCCTATCACTCTTTGTCCCAAGAACGTCTCTAGCTGATAATACATGGAAAAAGCCTGTCCACCATCTGGGATTGCCCAGCTCAGGAAATGGGTGGGAGTGGACAGACATTTTCTCTTATAATAGAAGTACCTACATATTTTTAAAAAATATATATATTTTATTGATTTTTTACAGAGAGGAAGAGAGAGGGATAGAGAGTTAAAAACATCGATGAGAGAGAATCATTGATCAGCTGTCTCTTGCACACCCCCTACTGGGGATGTGCCCTCAACCAAGGTACTTACCCTTGACTGGAATCGAACCTGGACCTTTCAGTCCGCAGGCCGACGCTCTGTCCTCTGAGCCAAACTGGTTTTGGCTTTATTACTGATTTTTTATTTATTCATTTCATAAGTTCTTACCAAGCACCTATTCCATGGTTGGCACTATGCCAGGGTGCAAGGATCCTGTAGCAGAGTTTATGGTGTAGCGAGAGAAAAGATGTTAAAGGGAATCCAATGTTAACACATTTCTAGTTGAGAGCTATGCCATGAAGAGACATTGATTTATGGGGGTGGTCCTGATTTAGATATGGAGGGAGGGAAGGCTTCTCTTAGGAGATAGTAAAACTTAAGACTAAAATGAGTCAAGTGGGGCAGCCAAGGTAGAGAGAAGTATAGCAAGCAGAGGCGGGTGAGTTTCGGACCAGAGATGTGGCAAGTGATGCCTGGTAAGGCTGGGAATGGGAAAGGGGACAGATGCCTCTTTCCATTTGGGAAATAGGGCTCCTTTGCCTTGGATTGAGGGGCAGCAGTTGCCGAATTGGAGGTTTATGTTTCTGTGTGTTGAGGTGGTATCCACCATCCCCTTTGCATCATCCCAGAGCCAGATGAAGTCAGAGCTGGCAGCTGTGGCCTCAGAGTTTGGACGGCTGACAAGGTTTCTGGCTGAAGAGCAGGCAGGGCTGGAGCGGCGCCTTCGAGAGATGCACGAAGCCCAGCTGGGCCGGGCGGGAGCAGCGGCCAGTCTTCTGGCTGAGCAGGCTGCCCAGCTGAGCCGCCTGCTGAACGAGGCCCAGGAACGGAGCCAGCAGGGGGGCCTGCGGCTGCTCCAGGTGAGCAGGGTCCACTTCTCTGTCTGCTCCCCAGCACCCTGTGTTTGACACCTGTCCATAGCGACTTTTTTTTTTTTTTTTTTTTTTTTTTTTTTTTTTACTGGGATGAATCCACAGGGATTTCTTCTGAAGACCTAAAGGTCTTTTGAGGCTGAAGATAAGAGTTATTGTAAAATGTGGTGTGTGAGATTATACCTAATGAAAATAAAGGAGTTTCAGTTGTAGGAGGGTTTTAAATGAGAGTTGAGGAAATAATTTTTGGCAGTGACATTCTGAAAGAGATAACCAAGTCATATTGTGAAAATTAGTTTACCGGGTTGAAAATTCTATTCCTAGGCTCACAGCAGGAAGAGATGAGCTAGGTGTGCTGAGGCACAAAGATGAGTGAGACGGATGCATGTTTATTGAAGGCCTTGAAGTGCTTTTTCTCATTCCCTGTTTATGTTCAGTCTTATGGCTAGAATCAGGCAGGGAGAAAGGAGCCATCCCTGCACAGCTGACTCTCTCTTTGTCTTTCTCCCTCTCCTTCTTTGTGTTTCTGTTATTCCCAGGACATCAAGGAGACTTTCAATAGGTGTGTTCTCACCCATTATTCTTTGTAATCTAGTGGCATCTGGTTCCCCATCCCCTCTTTTGGCTATCCTGCCCCTCCTCCTCTCCTTCCCCTGGGAATATCATGGTCCCCCCCCCTGCCTGGTCCCCTTCCTCCAGGTGTGAAGAGATACAGCTGCAGCCCCCCGAGATCTGGTCCCCTGACCCGTGTCAACCCCATAGCCATGACTTCCTGACAGACGCCATCGTGAGGAAAATGAGCCGGATGTTCTGTCAGGCTGCTCGAGGTAGGGAGGTCACCTGTGCGACCTTCCTTTGCCTTTACCTTCACAGACCTGAGAGTAGGTTCTGAGGGAAGATTGGGGGCTGAGATGGAGCAGACTACAGGTAGGCCATCTGGGGCTTCAAGCCAAGACTGCTGTCCTAGCTCAGGTAGGTGTTGGGGAGAGTGCTGGCAAGAAGAGCCAGGGCCAGAGGGAAGACCTGTCCAGTGTCCTGGAAACAAGAATAGGGAAAGTGTTAGAACCTATAGGAACCTGATCCTGGCCTTTAGGAAGGGGTGGGACACTAAGGACTGCTGGGGTCCAGAAGGTGAATGGGGGGAGGGCATTAGGAAAGGCTGAACCTTGGAGTTGGCTGCTGATGGGCAACAGTGGACCCATCCCTGGTGAATTTGTCCTCTTCCCACAAGTGGACCTGACACTGGACCCCGACACGGCTCACCCGGCCCTGATGCTGTCTCCTGATCGCCGGGGGGTCCGCCTGGCAGAACGGCGGCAGAAGGTTGCTGACCATTCCAAGTGCTTCTCAGCTGACTGCTGCGTACTGGGGGCCCAGGGCTTCCGCTCTGGCCGGCACTACTGGGAGGTAGAGGTGGGTGGACGGCGGGGCTGGGCTGTGGGTGCTGCCCGAGAATCAACCCATCATAAGGAAAAGGTGGGCTCTGGGGGTTCCTCTGTGGGCATCGGGGATGCCAGTTCTTCCTCGCGCCATCACCACCGCCGCCGCCGTCTCCATCTACCCCAGCAGCCCCTGCTCCAGAGGGAGGTGTGGTGTGTGGGCACCAATGGCAAACGTTACCAGGCACAGAGCTCAACGGAGCAGACACTGCTGAGCCCAAGCGAGAAACCACGGCGCTTCGGAGTGTACCTGGACTATGAGGCTGGGCGCCTGGGCTTCTACAACGCAGAGACTCTGGCCCACGTGCACACCTTCTCGGCTGCCTTTCTGGGCGAGCGTGTCTTCCCTTTCTTCCGGGTGTTCTCCAAGGGCACCCGAATCAAGCTGTGCCCTTGACCAGCCTACCACCCGCTGGGGCCCCTCTGGTCAGCACTGGTGGGGCGGGTGGTGGTGGAGGGTGGCCCAAGTTTTGGGGCTAAAGGCTCCCTAAGTTTTCTGCATTGCTTTCTGCTCTTCCTTGACCCGATTTCCCCTATAAGAGCCTAAGAACCTTTCTGGCCTCCAGCTCTGCCTCACCTGCATGGGTCTCTGCTATCAGCTGCCTAGTCTTCCCTTCCTGTCCACCCAGGGACCAAGTTTGAGTAGGGGAGGGAATATCTAATTTTGTTAACTTCTCTTTATCCATCCCTGCTTTTCAATCTTCACATCAGTTCCCAGGCTTGAGGATTTTGGCAAGACATGACTATCCCTATACCAATTCCATTTTCTAATGGAAATTTATGGAATTTGGAGGTTTTTTGAGGGGAGGCAGGCTGGGCAAAAGGTAGAGCTGGGCAATAAAGAACCATCTCCACTGGGAAAGAAAGGATTATAAACTTAATTCTATCTAAATTTCTACCTCCATAGACTGGCCAGAATCTAGTTTCAGTGAGATCTGGAGTGGTAGACATGATTGAAACCACATACCATTATCCCCCCCACACCCACCCATAAATTATTCTTACCCTTCCCCAGCAAACCGCACCCTACCCTCTTCCCTGCCAGACTCCTTTCCCCTTTGTTCAGCGGAGGTTATTTCCATCCTCTCATGTCTTCAGTTTCATTTGATGAGCTCTGATGGGGAGCAGGGTTTAGGTCCCTAGGAGTGCCTGGGGTATATTTTTCTAGTAACCCTTTGCTTTGTGTCATTTATCAGCTTTTGTCCTGTGCTTTGATGGCCCAGGTCAATTATGTTCCTGGGGAAAAGGGAAGTTGGGTTGTGGAAATAAAAAAAGAAAAAAGTTTCCTTTTATGGAGTCCATTCCTTTAGCTGAACAGAAAACACATGAGGTCCTATTTAGAGATTGGAATATAAACCCTCCCATTTGTATGACCTACCTACTTTATTGGCATACTCTTCAGACTACTCGAAGAGCATTTGCTGATTGCTCTCTCCTGCTGCTTTAAAACTGTTTCCCTGAGTTTCCACACTCCTGGCTCAGGCCCATTTTCAAAGTATAGATGACTATATCTAGAAATCCCATGGAGCTGGAGATAAAGCTAGATGCTCCATTACCGTTAGCTGAGGAGAAATGGAGGGTATCCTATGTGATGAGAACCTAATATATGAAGTGTCTGGTCAACTGTTCAACCAAAGCATATATGCCAATAACATGCTAAAGCCACTCAACCACTGGCTTTGATGTGCACTGACCACCATAGTGTAGATGAGGAGTGGAAGGTTAGCTTGCTGCTCAGGTTATGAAACCTGGACTGGGAAAGATAGGTCGGACACACTCTGGAGCCTTCCCATGGTCCCTCTGACCCTAATCATGTTCCTGGATCCAGTAGGGTCCCTCAGTCTGGCCAGAACCCTCACATGAGCCACTTGGGGAATGTCAGTGAACCAGTTTTGGCCCAATGCTGGGAGGGTACCAGATGCAGGAAGGAGCTGCAGGCAGTGTTGGCTGTGGACTTCAGAGCCCAGCAGGTTACCCTGAGGGACACCCAATGCATAATTCGTGCACCAGGCCCCTAGTGTGTCTATGTATATATATGGGCTACTTTAATACCAGTTCTGTGATTAATTCCAGACCACTGTATATAATTTTAAATCTCCTGTATGGGAGGAGTGAAAAGGATTTAGGTAGTTCTTTTGGTGAGTTGACTTGCCTTTATTAAAAAGTCTCTAGCTTAACAAAAACCCAATATGAAGTAGACTGTTAACTGGAGTTTCAGAAAGTTTTTTAATCTTCCCTTTGGAAGAAAAAATGTACCTGTTAAATTCTTCGCGCATGTGTGTGTGTTAAAGAGAGTTGGACCTGGTCCTGGCTGGTGTAGCAGCTCAGTTGGTTGAGCCTTACCTTACCTCATGTACCCAGAGGTTGCAGATTCAATACCCAATCAGGGTATATGCCCAGGTTGCAGGCTTAATCCCTAGTAGGGGGCATGCGGGAGACAACAGATGGGTATTTCTCTCTCCCTCAAGTCAATAAAAACCTTAAAAAGCATTGAGGATCTACATGAAATAGGACATTATGAATGGGGGTACCCAACATGGTCCGACTTCTCCCTCTTCCCCGAAGCCTTGATTGTTTGGCATTTACTTCCAGAATGGAAAGAAGCAGTTTTTTTCTCTAATCAGAGAAAGACGCTTTATACAAGCCAGAAAACCACTTTATTACTAAAGCTCTGCCATTTATTTCTAGCGGGTGCCGATGGTCACCTGCCACACTCGCACCAGGTTGTCTGTATAGCCAGCAAAGAGAGTCTGCAAAGGAGAAATGAGTGATGTCAGGGTAATGAAACTCTAGTCCCATTAGATCCCCCGTCTTCTAACTACATTATGGGTGATTATTCCTAGAGGAAGAACTAATATGCTTGTAAATTGGCCAAATTAAACTGAACTGAAAGCAGGTAATCACTTCCCTCCAGACCTGCAGTCACCAAGCTTTCGGGACCTCATGGACAGACCACCCATTGGTGACTGCTGCTCTAGACCACGATCTTCCCGCTAAATGGTACACCTACTTACCTGGCCATCAGCAGACCAGGCCAGAGAGGTGCACTGGGGTGGCTCTGCCTTGCTGCTGGTACTGATAACTTCTTGCTTCAATTCATCTACAATGATCTTGCCTTCCAAGTCCTGGGGAAAGAGCAAAATGGAAGTAAGGCAATTCTTTGCACTTTAATGCCACTGATATTAAACACACACACACACACAACACCAACCCCCTCCCCGCCCCAACCAAACAGAAGTCCCCTCTCAAAAGCCACTTTATACCTCAATAATTTCAACAGGATATTTTTGCACTCACACTTGGCAATGCCTAGAGACAATTTTGGTTGTCATTAAGGGAGTCTACTATAGGCACTTACTGGTGAGTGAAGACCAGGTTTGCTGCTGAACATCCTAAAATACACAGGACTACTCCACCCCTCTGTCAAACATTCAGACAAAAATGTCAAGTGTGCTGTGGTTGAATAAGTTGCTCTATTTAGCCATTCCTTTAAGTAGGCAAAGATCCAATCATTGTAAACCTAAACCCAGGAAGTTTTAAGTAGCTTTTGCTGGGCCTCCACTGACACCCTGACAGCAGTTGTTCAGGAAATCACCACATTGATGCCATCCATGGCTTAGAGTATAGCCAGGTACCTGTCCTCAACTGCAGCCCCTACTCACCCAGATCTTGATGCTGGGGCCAGTGGCAGCACAGAGCCAGTAGCGATTGGGGCTGAAACACAGGGCATTGATGATGTCCCCACCATCAAGTGTATACAGATGCTTGCCTTCGTTGAGGTCCCACAGCATGGCCTGGCCATCCTGGGAGAGAGCAAAGCTGAGTCAGGGTAATGTGACCTCTTCCAGATGTTAACCCCAGCTGTCTCAAGATTATCTCAACACCGCCCCCGTACCCTAAACTTCTCCAAAACCAATGATTGTAGTAGCAATATTTACCTCTATACCTTTCCTTTAATGCACCACCCAAAACTACCAAGAGTCTGTGATCTAAATCAAACAACTGTTTGTTAGGTGAAATCCTAGTGTCAACAATAGCTTTAAAAGAAACCAGATTTATTGAAGACCTGTTTCTTTTGAACAGTACAGTATGCCTTCAAGATGTCACTTTCAGAAAGCAATCTTTGGAAATATTTTTTCTTAGATTACTATCTTATTGTCAAGTATTCTTTCTAAGACACTGTACCCATTGTTTAGGAGACTCCTGGCCCAAGTACCTTGCCTCCAGAAGCACAGAGGGATCCATCTGGAGAAACAGTCACAGTGTTCAGGTATCCTGTGTGGCCGATGTGATTGGTCTTCAGCTTGCAGTTTGCCAGGTTCCATACCTAAATTAGGGATGGTGGTGGTCATAGATAAAGAACTTGGCTCTGGAGCTGTTGAGTCAGAAGAGCTCTAGCCGAACAGAAGGGCCTTTAAAACTCGTTTAAAAGCATTCTTGGATCTGGTGGCTATTTTTCATTCAATCAGTGACCAAAAAAAGGCCTTGCTAGTTGTGGACAATTAGGATTAAAACAGGCAAGAAATGCTCTGTTGCCTCATAATGGACTTAGGGCCATCAATTGGCTATTTTAGATAAACTAGGAAGAAAAGTAAACTGAGGGACAAATCTTTCAAAGTGTATGACCATCTGGGAGAGAGGAGGAACACATTCCAGCTGGCAGAGACCCTACGCCCTGGCTCTGAGCTCACCTTGACCAGCTTGTCCCAGCCACAGGACACGATGATGGGATTGCTGCTGTTGGGCGAGAAACGGACACAAGACACCCACTCTGAGTGGCTCTCATCCTACAGATGAAAATGAAATTAGGAAAAACCATCCCATCCATGAAACTCTTGACCCCATTTCTCAGTTATAATGACAATCTGTTTTCACACCCCCGAACCCAAACCTTCAAGATCAATGAAACTTTCATCAGATGAAGCCTGAGGTCACCACATAAGGCCCAAGTTCAGAGGATGGGAGAGCACCATAACACGTGTGTTCACTTTACCTGGACAGTATATTTGCATACACCCAGAGTATTCCATAACTTGATGGTTTTGTCTCGGGAGCCAGAGACAATCTGCCGGTTGTCAGAGGAGAAGGCCACACTCAGCACATCCTTGGTATGGCCCACGAATCGGCGCGTGGTGGTGCCCCTGCGAGGAAGGACTTGGTCACTGCCCAGACACACTTTGCAAGCTTCCAGTGAAGCTGCATTTCCTCATCTGCCCCGGACATGGATCTGCACACAGCAGGCCCTTGGGTAAGAATACGCCAGAGGATTCCCTTCAGAATTGCAGGACATGTCCTCACTCCCACATGGGGTTGGCTGACAATGTCGCCTGTCATCACCAGGGTCCTCCATTATGTTCCCAAGGCAGAACCTGTTCAAACTCTTGCCGCCTCAATGGT